AAGCTGGAGAACATATCAGTAGTGGCTTACACAGAATAAGCCCAAAAGCAATGAAGTTAGAAATTATGGAGCAATCAAAAAAGAAAAAGTTGCACCAGATAGCAAAAAAGAGAATGCCTGATGCAACTCTAAAGGATATTGCATTCCAGCATCCTTGCTCCTTGTGTCCTCTTCATGGATTAAAGGGAAGAAAGAGGCCCTTTACTATCACCCTAAGGCAATTGGTAGGCAACATAACTCTTTGACTGATGGTATGTGGTATGAAGCTTTCTTCAAGGGCAGACACTTGCATGCTGCCGTTGCTGGGTTTTTGATATTTTGTTTGAAGGTGCATACTACAGCATCTTTTAAAAGGTTTGCCAACAGCTTGCCCCCTGTGAAAAAGACATTCACAATTTCCATCTTTAAAATTAGTAAAAGGCCCAGACTGTCTCCACTAGCTTTAACCATCCTAGGAGGGCAATGATCCATCTCATAAGTCTTTGGATAATTATATCCTCCCTTTAAATCCTCCTCTGTAATTTCAGTTGGACACAGTGATCTTCACTTGCTGGTCTAAACTGCTGTGTTAAACAGTTGTCTTCTTTCATTCTAGATGTTGCTTTTGGTTTGGGTGAAATGACTCCTGTGTATAGAATGTTGACAAATGAAAGGTGACATGTGTAGATCAAACTGTGTTTTAAGTTGCAGTGTTGCAGTCTGCTAAGTCACCAAAAACTCATTTTGAACCAAGAAACTTAACTGGAAATAAAATGGTGTCAGAAATATTGAGGAAGTTCTGAAATGCTATCTTGAAATAGAAGTTCTCTCCTGACTCTTCCTCTCTGCTAAAGATTTTCCTACACAAAGTACCTTCCCCCTTAATATAATCCCTAGTAACACTTGACATGTGAAACTATATTTTCCTTTATGGAGAATCTGTACTGGCACCAGGTTCAATGAGTAGCTATTTGCAACACACCTGGAACTGAAAGAATTCATATTTGGTCTTCCTCACTGTATGAGAGGCACTTTATTACCGGGGATTCAGTGAGCTCAAGGCAGCTTACTGAGCAAGGACAGACCTGGCAGATCAAAGGATCTTTGCCCAAAGAGTTATCAGAGGTGTTAAGGACAGCTTAGGCCCTCAGCTGAAATTACAGTACAAAGCAAAGGTAAAATTTTTAACTGTTTTTTTTTTCCTCTAGATATTTTCCAGTGGAAAGAAAGAAATCAAAATAGTCCCCCATGTTTTTCAGAACATTTGTTTGTACTCTACATTTGAAATGGAAGGGCCCAAGATGCTGCAAAAGTTATGGAGCCAAAAAGATGTTTTTAAGTAAAGGAACCTTCTTGGTTTAGTGGTAACTTACTTGAAAAAGTGTAAAATCCAAGCAGCCCAGGCTGCATGCCTGCTGCTGCTTCTTTATGCTTTGCTGCCCCTCCAATTAAATCTGATAAAAGTCACAAATAGTTTATTGTAACTACAACAGGTTCTACTTTCAGTGTTCTTTTCTTCATGCCAAGTAAAACAGAATGTAACTTTGACTTAGGTTTGATAAACCTTGTAAAGCTGTAATAGCTCTTAACTGTAGTCAATTTCTCTGGATGACAAGGGACATTGCCTATTCTATGTCATACCTAACACAACAGAAGGGAAAGAGAATTATGAACCAACTGAATGTTCCTGACATGTGTTACTTATAAGTTACTCCTTCCACCATAGAATTTATGTCCTATAAAAGTCAGGGAGCCCCTATTCGTTTTATTCCATTTGTCCAATCTTGGCTGCCTTTCACTTCTTCTGTTAAAAACTGTAATTAACTAAACTATGAACAATGAAAAGCTGTCATACTGGGTTGGTCTTAAGACCCAAAGAGTCCTATACTTTCTGTAAAAGGAATGAGAGCAGAAGCTGAGGAAGAGAGGATAAAATAAGAGGAAAGGATAGAGCGATCCTTCTGCTGAAAATGTGTTCTCAGCAATCTGTGCTCTACAGACTTTGTGATTTGGAAGTTTTATCCCTGCACGGCTTTCTCTCACATATGAGATCAATGACTTTTTAAACATTTGAATCTTCCAACATCTTTTAGCAATTAGTATCACAATTCAGTTATGAGTTCCATGGAAAAAGAAACTCCTTTCATGATTTCCTGCTGCCTGATGATTTGGGTTTCCTATAGCATGATGAGAATTTTTTTTAATTTATTTTTTATTTTTTATTTTTATTCTCTTGCAGTCTTCTCTTCTTTCAGGAGTCTGATTTCCTTGTTCAGAACCTAACCTTCTGATTGCCCTCGTTATTCTTTATACCATTCATGATTCTACCGTATTCTTGCTTGAAGTAGGTAAAGAAAGATGCACAAAGTGATCTTGCATCCCAGATTTATACATTGATGATAATTACATTTTCTTTGTTGCCTCACACTTTCTTAATAACTCCAATTGTTGATTCTTTTTTTTTTTTTCCATTGTCATTGACCTGATGGTCTCAAAAGTTCTTTCAGAGACCACATGAAGAATGCGTCATTCTTTTGCTTATATAGGAGAAAGTCAGAAGGAACAGCATGCCATCTGTACAGGCTAAGCTTGCTAACTCTCCTACTTTAAGCATCATCTTCATGTTTTATGGCTTGCTTTCTATCAGCCCTGTCACAAAACAGAAGCACTCTGCCCCCGACCTTTCTTTTCAGTGATGTATTTCACTGACAGCAATTTGCAGTTGATCATTTCAGATTCCATCTTTTCTGCAGAATCTCACTGAACTGTGAACAGCAAAATTCTCTTTTTGTAAGCTCCTCCTTACACACGCAGATGTATACTTTGTTTTATCAAAGGGCTGTGCACCATTTTTGGATAACCTAGTTGCTGTTACAGAAAGCAAGCAGTAGATCTTATGTTATCATAGCTCCCCCTAGAGGGGTGTTATGTCTGCTATATTTGTCAATATCAGATTAAAAGGTAAAAAATCTTCCTTTACCTGTTTTTCTGAACTAGAGTATGTAACCTCTAGCTGCACTTGTTACAATTTCCCCTCCATATGGAAAACCCTGCTGCACCTAGCAGAGTGTCAGGTAGATTACAAAAAAAAAACCAACAGGATCTCTTTGAACCTGGAGTTCCTGTCATGTTAGTCCTTTAATTCAAACATTTTATCTGCTGCAGTCAGCAGGATGAACTGATGATAGCCACGTATCTTTTCTGGTGGAGTCCTCATCATATGTAAGCAGTGTGCACAAGGTCCTGTTTCCCACATGCACCACAAGATGTAGAACTACTTGTTGCTCTGTTACAAGTATGCTAATTCCTTCTCTCAGAGGCACACCTCTTGCTTTCTGTTTGGGCCGTGTTATCGGAAGGATAGATTCCAAGGGCAAGAGTGATGTACTGAACTGCAATTGAAGCTGCTTATGAAATGTAACAGGTTTAAAAAGCACAAACTTGTGCTGTACGAAAAGACTCCTTTTCTTGTTACTGTTTTGTGCTCCCACCTGCTCAAAGAGCAAGCAATGCCCACAATAGGGTAAATTCTTTCTGTGCCCAAGTAAGACAGACATATGTATTTGTCTGCTTTCTTAAAATGATTTAACATTTTCATAATATTTGAAAAAGATTCTGTTTTGAGAACTGTAATAGTGAATGCTAGAGAAGACAGCTTTTAGTTTTTAAACTACTTGAAGCCAGACCAAGTTTAATATATGAGTTTTGTGCTTAGTTTGCTTAGAAGCTATTTAGATTTGTTTCTGACTATCAGCTCCCTAGAAGATACAAAGGTGGACAGCTAAAGAACTGAAACCATCAAGTCCACCAAAGAGATTCCAAAATAGAAGCCAGGTTAGTGAACTGATCCCAGCTGACTCTCAGGCTCAGTAAACCCAAGGCTGGATTATCATGAAATGTTGTTCTTTATTTCAGATCCCCAAGTGGCAAACAAACTTTAGTTAGCAATAACAAGAACATCTTTAGACCCAAAGATATTAGGTATTAGTTATTAGTTAGCAAGATCCTTTGCTTCTTAAATGTTGTCTGTGGTAGTAATAGAGGAAGTTCATGAAAAAAGACAATGTGTGCAGTGTCTCTTCACTCTGTTGAGAATGCCCTCACACTGCATGGTAATAGGTTTTTCATGGGGCCAATGAGGAGATGGTCAAATTTTCTCCAGTTTGCCATGCTTTCCTGATCTGTTCATTACTGGAGATGACTGCAAAACGCTTCCAGTCTTGGTGGAAGGACTAAATAAGAATATCCAGGCTGTAGAGGAGATGCTTGGATGTGAATCAGAACTTCTTTGTCATTGTTTAGTACTTTAGTATCTTTAGTACTAGTGGTGGCAATGGTGATGAGGAGATGGTTGGACTGGATGATCTTATAGGTCGTTTCCAACCTTGTGATTCTATGATTCTATGATTCTATGATTGTTTCCCCTCATCAATCTGGTGGAAATAATAAGTAAATCAAACAGAGATTCAAAATAATTTCTCTATTAATCTGCTGTGGCTGAGGTGACAGACCTGCTGCAGCATTCAGGTGGAGTGGACATAGCAGCAGTGGGTTTGTTGTCCCAGCAAGCCAGAATTTAGACCTTCTGTTTATCTATCTGCCTGAAGTGACTTCCAGAAAGCCTGGATAATCTTAACTTGACTTTACTTTGCTGTGTGGCTGACTGTATTTCCCTTTCTGATTTCATACAGTTTAGACTGGTGAGCTGGATGTATAAGAAACCTGGTTAGCCGCTAGTAATTTTATTCAAAGCATTTTACACTTAAGGTTTTGGCATTATTTTCTGCACAGGATGACCTAACAACCATCAGAATAACAAGTGCTTCTGTAATTTTAGAAGTCTATGACCCAACTAAAACCAGTGGCTGGAATTCATGTGTCTTAGTGAACAATTTGCTAGTTTGTATGCCATGGCCTCACTCAAGATCCTGTTCAGTGCCTCCTGTTCTGTTCATTGCACAGCCTGTCAACGCTTTCATGCCAAAAATTTCCTCTTACCTAAAAAAAAATTAACCAACCAATATCAGATTTGATATTAATAAATATTTATTTCCCTTCTACTCCATCTACAGGCATATGAATGATTCAGGTTTCAATACAATCAGAGTGAGAAAAGGGCATAACTCCCTAAATTTCTAGCTCTCATCTGGCTACACCTAATGACCAGGCAGATTGTTAAAATCACTGCTAGGTAAATTAAGTCACACAGTACCCGTGTGACCTGCCAAAGCATGACCATTTATTTGTGTAAGACTAGATCAGTGCCTCATAAAGTTACAATTGTGTCTGCATTTAAAGTTTAACATGTCTGCCTTATTTCTAGGTAATAGCTCAGCAAGTTTCAGAGGAGAATTTACAGGAAGGTCGCCTGTACCCTCCTTTAGTCACAATTCAGCAGGTGTCACTGAAGATTGCTGTGAGGGTAAGTCATTTCATTCCTGGCTTCTTTTCTTCCCATGCTGAGCATTAGATTCGATCAGCTGACACATCTTCTCACAAGTTGATTTACAGCAATCTTGGTCTAGGAGTAAAAATAAATGTATTCAATTTCAATTCATAAATGTAACCCCAAATTTGACCCCAGTACAAGGAGGAAAGAGTCAGAACTCCAGAATTTTTGTTTACTGATGTAAAACATTCCAGTTACTGAACAAGGAGCCTTCGTGCATCAAACACTTCCCCTAGCTTCACTTACTCTACATTTAAAATAAATAATAATAATAATAATAATAATAATAATATCCTTCTTGCCCCTCATGTCTTCTTAGACAAATGATAACTGTCCTGTAAATGTTAAAATATTACCAAGATTCCTCAGGCTACATCAAACTGCCTACGTGGCAGAAAACACAGTGATAGAAACTCCTCTGTTGTCTCTGATGAGATAACTTGAATGTGTGTTGAAAAAGGAAAATGTTACTGACCAAGTCTTTCTGCCTGATCTCTGCTGAAATGTTATTCCCACAAGCACCTACTCTCGTGCAGTGCTTTAGTGCTTGTACAGCACTAAAGGTTAAGTGATGGCCTCTGTCCTTTCCAGGGAAGAAACACTCTGAAAATTTTTGGAATACCAAATGCAGAACATAAATTCAGACCTCATTCAGCTGTGATTATTATGTATGCAGACCTGAAGAGAAACTCTTACACAAATACAGACATCTCACTCAGCTCTGGTTGGGACTTCAGATGAATTCTAAAAGGGAAGCCAACATACTGTAGCTCTTCCCCTTGGGGCACTGGCTTCTCACCAAGCTAAAATATTTATGTTTTAAAGTGATGGCTAAGGAGAGCAGGAAGAAGACTTTGTCTTCCCTTCATTTAAAGTAAGAGCTTCTGTCTGTTTGCCAGTTGCAGTTGAAGCAGATCCTACTGAAGATCACTGCTGCTTTAAACTAATGTGTAACCCTTCTTTTGTTTCACAGAGGAGCATCTAGCCAAAAGATGTATATATCTCAAGCTGGTGTTCTTCAGATGTGACAGTATGCTTTGATGCACGGAGTGAGCTCCAGTCCCTTCCAAACGTCAATTTTTTGCCACAGCCATACATAGGATGCAATTGATTCTGATCTTGTTGAATTCTCAGAGACAAAGTACACAGGCTTTCCCCAGTCATACATAGAATTTAAACCTATGCACCTTGTTTAGCATTTACCTTTGAGAAATGTTTTACCAAACTGAGGCAAATAATAAACTTCCCTCATATGCAGGGGAGGCTTGGGATAAATCATACTTTTCTTATGTACTTTATAGGAGGTGGTAAACCAGGGTAGCCTGCTCACAATGTAATCCTGTTCAAAAGAGTTCAAAAGCAGCACGAATCAGACAAATCAGTGCATACATCATCATATTCTTAATCTTTTTTGCTGTATGTTAGCCCAGATCCAGTGTAACTTGACATCACTGTCAGCATCTAAGAAGATGTCATCTTGATTTTGACCTAATTTCTACTTAAAAATTCTGTTAAATGTATTCACATAAAGCACTAATTGGGATTTTAATGCAACTTTCCAGATTGCAGAAGAAGCCTACAGGAATAACAGTGCCACCACCTACCCTCGGCCCAAGGACCTTGAAGCCTTCATCCGTTCGCAGATGTACAGCACTGATTATAACAGCTTTGTGGCTGACTCATACACCTGGCCTGAAGAAGCCATGAAAGTGAAACTGTAAATACTTCATGAAGAAATAAGCAAATCAGCAGCAGTGGAAAAGCACTAAAATATTCAGAATGTTTCTGCCTAGAGAGCCGAAGAGTAGATAATTTTGTAAGATTCAGAACAAGTTTTCTAAATCATAATATTTGATTAGAAACTCAGATTAAGAAGTCATAATTAATTATAAATGAAAAAATAAAGATTAATCTGAGAACTGTATTTGTGTTGGTTGTTTTCTGATTGTTATTGCACTTGATGTGTCCTGTATGATGGCTGTACACATTTTTTTATATCAAAATGAGTGGTTGCACCTTGAATTCAGAGATGTGTCATACATGTCAATGAGAACTTCAGCAGATAAATGGTACAGTGGAAAATTAAGAAATACACACAATGACTGTTTAATCCATTACAAGTCAGGATGTAACTTGTGTAAATTGTCAAGCTGTTATTGAAAAACAACAGTAAGTTTAGAAATATTTTCCTCCACATAAAAGCCTTATTGGTCACTCCTGTGTGCAGCAATGAGGATTTTCTGATGAGAATTGAACCTGCAGAGCCTTTGTTGACAAATTATTCAGCAGCATTAAAATATTCTAACAAAGCCATAGTCCTGTGAATTATCATTTTCCCCAACAAGATAACTGTGCTGCAATTGCTCGGCATAAAGGCAGTCAGTGTCCCTCACAAAGAGAGAATATCAGAGTATTATAAATAGGCAGCCAAAGCATCCCCATTTTTAATATTGTAGTCATCAGGGGAGTGTACTGAAACACAGCTTTTAAGTAGCTGCTAACCAAATAGCTTGATTTGTAGATTTGGTCATCCATACCTCAACAGTAAGGGTGGTTTTATTGCTGTGTACCAATTTTCCTATTATGGTGCTTAGAAAGCAGAAGGCAGTGTTATGGTGGTTCTTTAAGGCACAGCTATTTCAGACTTCTCAGACACAGCCTTCATCTACGAATAACATTCAAATATGACAATCCTTTTATATCTATACAGACACACACACAACACATATATTTCCTTATTTATTATGTTAAACACCTTTCAATATGCTAGGCCTAGCAATACAAATATAAAAAAGCACAAGTTGAGCAACTGTTACCATTCAAAATTACCATTAATGTAACCGGACCTTAATGAGATGAGAAGAAGCTGCTATTGGAAATGTGGGCAATAACATTATCCCTGTAAAGATGCACTACCCAGAGCTTCCAAATGATAGGTGATGTAGGTTTACTTCCCCACACACACTCCTCCGTTTTAAATGCAAAACCTGGTGCTGTGCTTGGGCACAAGAGTCTTTGCTTTTCTTGGATCAGCTGAATTAAGTGAGAGCAGATGCTTCATACAGCAGTAAAAGATAGTGAATGCAGTAAATCTCTGACTCCCTTTGGTGGCATGTACTTTTATACTGGAAATTGTATTAATCTCTGACTACAGACACCTTGGTGACCCACAACTAAATGAAGAAGTTAACTAAAGCTCTGCACCTCGGCTTAGTAACACAGCACAGTATGGATGATTGCAGACCAGTGTAATTTGGGATGCTACCATGTGGGATTTTCATCACCTTGCAAGCACTTCTGTGAGATGTGGCTCAGTGATAAATGCTGCTTTTAAGGTCTCTGGAAATAAGTAAACAAGCACCTCTTTCAAAAAACAGGCTGCAATTCAGAACAGAGCCAGGAATATCTACTTGAACTGTCCTTCTGTGTTAAACACTGAGTTTCCCTTTTCACAGCAGCCATAGCTTAAGGATAAATTTTAATGCCAGCTTCATCTCTTGCTGTCCAAAGTTAGCATTCTTTTACATCTTTTTTTTCTTATTTGTCTGCAAGTTTGCCTTCAACACCAAATAAAATCTGAAAAATATGTCCACTTTGATGCTGTTTCAGGAATTCAAGGAACTGGCCCAGATCCATGTGATAGTCATTCCTCAGGCCATAATCACCATGGGCCTGAAACTGCAAGTCTTCAAAAGTTTGAAAGAGGCGCAAATTATCAATGCTTCCTTCTGCTTCTACAGTCTCCACATGTTTGCATGAAATATGCTTCCAGTTGGGATATCTGATAACACGCCAGAACTCCTCACAGTTTTCTCTGGTTCCCTCCACACAGATCACCCCAGGTTTTCCTGTCAAGCAGAAGCCAGTCAGGTTTAATTTCTTTGCACACTCAAAGATCTTCTTCCTCAATTCCTGCCTGTATATATGATGGCTGTAGATCCACATACGTTGAATTGTTTCTTTAACTACTGTTTCCTTTGAAACACTTTCAGCAGAGACCTTACTATTTTCTAAATAAGGCAGGCTGTTCTCTTTCAGCCACTGCACAGCTTCACATACGCACAGTTCACCTGAATCCAAAGAGCTGATGTGAGAAGTGAGAAGAGTGTTGAGCTGCAACTGTTGCTGTCTGTGCAGTGCATTTGATCTTGCAAAAAGCTGAGGAGCCACATGGGGATACATATGAGGCAACTGTACCTGCAATTCCACTTTCACCTTTAAAACAGAGCACAAACACACAAAAAGAAAATAAATTCCACAGCTAAGAGAGACACGCTAGATTCCTTTCCCTGCCACAGGCAGATTATGAGATGTAATTGGGATTGCAGTATCCTAAAAACTGGAATCACTACTTATGTCTTCCTTTTGTCCCCATAACCTACTCTTTCATCTGGTCTTTCTATTGTATCTCACTGGGACTTTCCCAACATATCAACTGTTATCACAGCTGCTCTCTTCTGCCATCCACAGAAACAGTGTTATGGCTTGAAAGAAGGAACACAGGTGCTACTTACGGGACATTCTTATTTCCATTGCATGTTTTGAGAGTGTGCTCAGTTTTGTCATAGTGACAAAATACAAAGTGGCTTTGAGAATCTTTCCCCTCACCAAACATACATGTGAACAATGAGTTCAGCCCAGGTGCTGAATGGATTCCCAGAAAACAGAGTTACATGAAGAACGCTTACGATTATACACACTGTGAATAGAGGCATTATTATTACTATTTTAAGCAAATACTCACCTTAGGAGATGAAGCTTCATTACAGACAATAAAAAGGATTACGTACATGTTAGGCCGCGGAAACCTTGAGATTACCCTGCCTGATCTCTACAAACTGCAGGCAGTTGAATTTCCCTTGGTTATTCCTACAGTGCCTTACAGCACTGTAAGATATTGTAGCACTTCAGTTCTCTGGAAACCAAATTCTGCCTATAGTCAAAGAGCAGGAAAGGTCCTCAGTGCTCAATGCCCCATCCCTGAAGGTGTTAAGAGGAGGTTGGATGGGGCAGCCTGGTCTAGTATTAAGTGTGGAGGTTGGTGGCCCTGCCTGTGGCAGAGGTGGAAGCTTGATGACCCTTGGGGTCCCTTCCAACCCAGGACGTTCTATGATTCTATGATTCTGTGATGCTATGAAATGATTAAAAACAAGATTACAGATTCATGGAGGTTGGAAGGGACCTCTGAAGATCACCTATTCCAACACCCTGCTTACAGGAGGTTGCACAGGAGAGCATCCAGGCAGGTTTTTATTACCTACAGGGAAGACTCTACAATTTCTTCGAGCAGGGCGCAGTTTTACCCCTCAGCTTTTGAAACAGCAAATTATTCCCCCACTCCTCCCTTCCGGGCAGACGTTTAGCACCTGCACCACGAGTAAGGCAGGCGCAGCTCTCACCTCCGGCTCCCCGACACCGACAGCGACCGAATACTCGAGCCGCGGGGGCAGGGATCCGCCGCCGTCCCTCAGATAGCGCTGCAGGGCGGGCACGGCAGCCTCGTCCAGGCTAATCTCTCCTTTCTTGGGGAACATGGAAAGGAGCATTTCCACCTCCAGCAGCTGGAGCTCCAGGCACTCCCGCACAGCGGCAGCCATGGCTCCGCGCTGATACGTGACGGCCGGGGGTGGGAACCCGAAGTCTGCGTGACGTCTGCGAGGCCGTGCCAGACCTCAGCGGCGTCGCTGCTGTTAAAGGAAAATCTGCCTTGCTCGAGAAGGCGGCCAACAGCTCCGCGTTTCCCTCCGCTTTCTGTAGCCTGGTGGGGCCTTATGAAAACCCGGGAAGACGCAGGGAACCGGTGAGTAGCTGCCTGAAACGACAGCACTGCTTTGGCTTACGTTTCGTGTCCACGCGTATCAGCGTGCTGCCTGACACGCGTCACGCTTTCATTTACACGGGTTAAACGGACAACATCAGCTCAGCGAGGAGATACCGCACCGGCTTTAACACGGCATTCCCGTTTAAAGCGCTGATCCCATCCACCCTCAGTGCCGGAACATTGGGTTTTTCCATTGGGAAGGGCAGGGCTCAGCCGCCTCGTAACACTCTACCAAGCTGCAGGACGTCCTCGCAGCATCGCTGCCGGCTCTGTCCTACGGCTCCACCCCGCGGGCTGATCCCATTGCCGCGTGGCAGCCTCTTGCCCCGCCCACCGCGCTGCCATTGGATGGCTCATCGGAGGGGGCGTGGCCTTACCGGACCCGGAAGGAGAGCGTGGAGGTGGCGGTCGGGCGGGGCGGTGTGCGGGTAGGGCTGCGTTCCTTCGGAGCACGGCGGCAGTGCACAGCGGGCGGCAGGCTGCTTATGGTGAATGAATGGAGTTGTGTGGCTGTGTGAAGCGTGTGACTAGCGTTAGTTCTTTGCGGGGCGTTGTTGGGAGGGGACACGAGTGATGATCCGAGATCTGCTCTCCCAGATCACTTCGGCTCTTCGCGGTCTAGTCGAGCTCTACTGGGGTAGTGTTGTACGGGGACTGTAGAGGCTCTGGTAGTGGTCCTCCCCACAGCCCCACACGGAGGTGTATGGGGTACAAGCAGAGCTCTAGAAGCATTGAATGGCTTAGATTGGAAGGGGCCCCAAGGGTCATTGAGCTCTGCCTACTGCCATAGGCGGGGCTGCCTCCCACCAGCTCAGCTGCCCAGGGCCCATCCAACCTGGCCTGGGGCACCTCCAGGGATGGGGCATCACAGCACACCTCACCACCTCTGAGTAAAGAACTTCCTCCTAACATATAGCCTAAATTTCCACTCTTTTAGTTTAAGGCCATTTTCCCTTGTCTTATCACTATTAGACTGTTTAAAAAGCCAGACCCCTCCAGGTTATAAGCTCCTTTCAAGTACTGTAAGGGCCACAGTGAGGTCTCCAGCATTGTGTTGGCCCCAGTTTGAGACAGGATTCAAACTCAAATGAAGTACAAGATGTGAAACAAATTTGAATGACTCTGTTTCTCTTACAAGCGCTTGTGTTACTTCTTTCTCCAGAAATGGATGTTGAAGGACTTAAAAAATACTCAGCTTTGCATCCCAAGCCCTCTGGACTTACTCTTCAATATGGCACTGCTGGATTTCGCAGCAAGGCGCAGCAACTTGAGCACGTCATGTTCCGCATGGGCATGCTGGCAGCACTCAGGTCCAGGGCCACAGGAGCTACTATTGGTGTCATGGTTACGGCATCTCACAATCCTGAAGTAAGAGCAGCCTTTTGTTTGAAGAAAAAATAGATGTGGCCTAATAGAATCAAAGCTCATGGTAATAATGGGAACAAGAGGTTTCTATGGGCTGCATCTTGCAGGCACCTCCATCTGCTTAAGAGATATGTTTATAGTATTCCATTAAAATGTGAACTCTGGCACGTTGAGAGTTACCTTTCTACATACACAGGGTGGTCGTTTTCTCTCATGTGGAAAAGTCAATGCTGTAATGTAGGATGTTTGTAAGATTAGCAAGGCTAGGAGTGGCTGTGAGAAGAGATGAACCTTTGAGCAAAATCTGCCAGTAGAAAAAATGAAGCAGTTACAAATCAAGCACTTTAGACTTCTGCTGCTGTGGAGTATTCCCTGGTATTCGCATTTTCCCTTAGGTCACTTTAATGTCAGATGAACTTCATGCCAAGGTTATAGTGGGGTGGGGAGAAATAAATGACTTAATACACTGCTTAGTTCAGTTATTTGGGCTTGCTGGAGGCTGGAATAAATAGCTAACTATGACTTCCTAAAAATGTTCCATGTTGACAGAAGTAGTATGGTTAAACCTTTCCCACTCTTAAGCTGAGTGTTTTATTCTCTTTTCTTCTAAGGAAGATAATGGTGTGAAGTTGGTTGATCCTCTTGGTGAAATGCTGCACCCATCCTGGGAAGAATACGCTACGCAGCTAGCAAATGCAGAGGACCAAGAGTTACAGAAAACAGTAACTGAGATCTGCCAAAAAGCAGCAGTGAACCAGCAAAAAGATGCTTCAGTTTTTATTGGTAGAGATACCAGGTAATTCAAAAACACTGTTAGATGTGTGCTGCTTTTAGCAGAGGTGGCAGCAATTTGTTCATGAGTGCTGCTGAGTGCTTAGCTCTCTACAGCCAGGTTTGTTACCCATGCCTAGTCTGCTACCTGTTGAAATCACTTAAGGCTATAGCAATCCACAGCCATTTTCTAATGTTCCGTTATGAGCTTCTCTGATAATTATGAGAGCTTCCTAGCACTTCTGATCTGGGTGTCTTATTGTTTTTTTTTGGTGAGCACTGTGTCACATCCATGACACAGAAGTTCATCAGAAGTTCATTCATCTTCACAATTCTTTAGGGTAGTGACTTTCAGACTTGTTGAATCAAAGTCTGCTGGCAGGAAACTTGCTTTTCATAGTCATTTTCCCCATGCTCCTTCTTTCCAAATACACGTATAAAGGTTTTCTGTAAAGGCTGTGCTTTTTATTTTCCAGACCAAGCAGTAAGGAACTTTCACATGCAGTAATAGATGGCATCTCTGTTCTGGGTGGTCAGTACCATGGTATGTCAAGCTTTTGCTATTCTAGTTTATTATCAAGTTGTTTTTGTAAATGTGACTCTGCTACATAGCCCTAAAGCAGTAGCCCAGGTTCCATTTCCATTTGTCCGTAACAGTCTTCTTTTAGAAGAGTTGGATTGCTTTATGGTAAAGGGGTTCCTATTTTTTTAACAGAGCTTAGTTTTCTTTGTGTTTCCTTTGTCTGTTTTCTGTAGAATAGCAGATGTGCTTTGTATAATATACTTTGAAGGAGAAGTTAATTTAGTGTTCAATTTCTTAATATTGAAGCCTTTGTTTTATGTTAGATTATGGTCTAGTGACCACACCACAGCTGCATTACGTGGTCTGCTGCCAAAACACCCAGGGGCAGTATGGGAAACCAACGCTGGAAGGTTATTACCAAAAGTTATCCAAGGCTTTTACAGAGCTGATAAAAAAGGTAAATGTTGGTAATTATCTTCTTCCTGCAAACGTACAAAGTGGGTATCTTCTGCTGTTATTTTGTTTGGGTCTGAAGTTTTAAATTCAGCGTATCTATAGGTGGGGTGGCGGAGCCTATGGTTTCCCTCAGGTGTGAGTTCACTTTGTCCTTTCTTTCTGTGTACGAAGTCTCTCAGTTCTGGAGAGGCTCAGAGGCAACTGAAGATTGATTGTGCCAATGGCATAGGAGCTCTGAAACTGGCAGAGATGGAGACCTATTTTCCAAAGGAGGTACAAATTCAGGTATATAATGATGGAACAAAGGAGAAGCTCAACCACCTGTGTGGGGCAGATTTTGTAAAGGTTCATCAAAAGCCACCTAAAGGTATGTAGTCAGTCATCTTATATCCTTTTACATCCTCTCTAGATCTAAACGTGCAGGGTGTAGTAGTGGTGTATCAGCCTCAGATGAGCTGAGTTCCCTTGTTTCTTACTAAGTGATTGTAAGACTGGTTGTGCTTGTGTGATGGAAAGAGAATCCTAGGACAGGTTTTGATGCAATCTTAGATTATTATTCTAAATCGTTTGGTGGACTACAGCATGTTTCAGCACATTGGAGACGTGTTTGACAATCTGACATGAATGTTAAGCTGGTGGAGCCCAAGGATCATCCAGGTCTAGCTTTGTTTTACCTCCCTTTACATTAACAAGAAGTATTTACATTGTGGCCTAGCATTACAAATCCTTTTCCGTGTTCCTAAGGAAGAGCATAATTAACACTTTGGTGCCAGCAAACTGACAGCTTGACATACACCACAGAGGTAATTATTTCAACCAAATTCCTGCAGAGTGCTTAAAAGAAAATCCCCAAACTGGGAGAATGGACTAGTTTGAATATTAGATTATTTGAGGCTAAATTGAGCTGTCTATTCCACAACTGCTTCCTGACTGAGACTGTCAGCCAAACCTGAACATCAAGGTATGGTGGCATTTCCTCTTTGTCATGCTGCTTGCAGGGACAAGTTTTGGGGTATGGTTTCCAATGCTCTGAAGGATAGAAGGTGTCAGCAGCATGGGCTGGTTTCCTTGTCCACCTGTGTGCTAAACTGTGTCCCTCCAGGAAGGGGGATAAAGGATGCAGTGTCCTTTGGGGCACTGCCAAGATCCCAAAGATCTCCAAATGAGCCTAGCAATGGCCAGCTGCTGTTTCTGACATACAAACTCCAAGTTAATGGCAAGGTCAGCATTTTGGACAAGAGAAAGACTTGCATTGATAAAAGGGCAGTTTGTTTTTCTGAGGCATTGCTCTGACAGGTGACAACTTCTTCCCAGCAAATTCTGTCTTGGCATTAAGCCTAGAAACGTTTTGAGGCAGGAACTCTTCATACTGTATACACTTAGTAAATGCAGTGTCAGTTTGGAGCATCTGTTTTGTGTGTCTGCAAAGAGCTAATTTTGTTTCTTTATTCCTATCTCTAACTTGCATTTCTAACTCTGTGTGCATTAGGGCTAGACATGAAGCCTAATGAGAGCTGCTGCTCATTTGATGGTGATGCAGATAGAATTGTTTATTACTACAAGGACACAGCTGGCCATTTTCACCTAATCGATGGAGATAAAATAGCAACTTTAATTAGTATCTTCCTTAAAGAGCTCCTTGCCAAGGTAACTTTGATGTGTCAAATGAATGCTTA